CCTCCTTTGACCCCCCCCCTGTGTACGCCTCTGACCCTTAATGATATAATTTACCTAACAATATTCCTGTCCCGGACACTAGAGAACCAGACAAAAGAAAAATACCAGGAAACAAAACTAAAAAACATATTTATTTACTACACGCTTTTTTTTGTTCGTACTTAAAACAAATACAAAAAGTTCACGTATTTTCCTTTTTACAGTTATTGTGATTTTTCTAAAATCAAAAAATCAAAAATCTTTTAGGACGTGCGAGGACCCTGAAAACTTTGGACCGGATCGGTTTAGTTTCGTTTTGACGTTTATTGGTTCGTTAGTAGTGATTTTCTTTGATAACCAAGAACATAAAATTAAGATTAATTTAACTGATTTTCTATCTCTTAAATAACATTTTGGGCTTGATTTTTCCAGAAGTGTATTCTCCAATCTATGATTTTTATAAAAGAAAGATTCCCCATGATGAAAATAATTTCATTCTTGTATTCAATTCAATTCTGCTTAAATATTAATAATCTGCATGACCTGCTAATTGAATCTATCCTACCAGATCTGCTAATAAACACTCCACTAGAGACCTGCAAATTAAATCTGACCTGCCAGATCTGCTAATAAACACTCCACTAGACCAGCAAATTAAATCTGACCTGCCATATCTGCTAATATACAATCTCCTAGACCTGCTAATTAATTCTGACCTGCCTGATCTGCTGATACACAATCCGCTAGACATGCTAAATAAATCTGACCTGCCATATCTGCTAATAAACAATCTGCTAGACTTGCTTATTAAATCTGACCTGCAAGATCTGCTAATAAACAATCTGCTAGACCTGCTTATTATATCTGACCTGCCAGATCTGCTAATAAAAAACTCCTCTAGACCTGCTAATTAAATCTGACAAACCAGATTTGCTAATATAACACTCCGCTCGACCTGCTAATTAAATCTGACCTGCCAGATCTGCTAATATAACACTCGGCTAGACCTGCTTATTATATCTGTCCTGCCAGATCTGCTAATATAACACTCGGCTAGACCTGCTAATTAATTCTGACCTGCCAGATCTGCTAATATAACACTTGGGTAGACCCGTTAATTATACCTGACCTGCCAGATCTGCTAATATAACACTAGTTCTCATGAATAGTTTGTGTTGAATAGACTCTATCCCCCGGCTAGTCTGAAGTTCTGTGAAGGAGGAGTTGACCCACTGCCCCGCCCTACCAACCAGGTAGCTGTGGTAGGCGGTGAGCGGAGGGTAGTCCAGGCCCCAGTACATCAGATCATTATCCTAAAAAAAATGTTCTTAAATCGAGCACAGAAAGCTATGTGTTAAAATCTCTTGAATACAAACTGAAATGCTTAAAAACCCGTTGGCCAAAGCGTCCATCTGGTTTTACAGTGTAAACACAGCTGATTACTCCAAAAAATATAACATTTTACGTTGAAAGCGCTTTTTAAAAATTCCAAATAAATTTTTGAAATATACTAACACTTTATGGAAAGTAACTATTAATATCTCTTAAATATAAAACAGCTTGCAAATCAAATCAAATCAAATCAAATCAAATCATGAATGTTGGGGAAGCTTTAGGCTCCATTTCCCAGCCGGCCGAATAGTTCAACACTGAAAATCGTTTCAGTGGATAAGCGAAGATTCAGGGTGGCCAAAACTTTTTTGAACAAATCCGTACAAAAATCCGTACATTTTCAGAAGAAATCCGTACAATCCGTACAATTTTTTTTTTTTTAAATCCGTACAATCCGTACATTTTATAAAACCAATCCGTACTTTTTTTTAAAAATCCGTACATTTTTTTAAAAAATCTGTACAATCAATACAATTTTCGAAAAAAATCCCAGTTTTGAAAAAAAACATTAAAATTTAATTTTTCATTCATTGTCCTTTGTGTTCAGTTCATGTAAGAGGGTTTAAACTTCTTCAGCAAGAATCAATCTGTAAAAAATTGGCTTCATACATATATACAAACTAAATACTGGGTACATGATACTAGGTGCATGATACTGGATACTGGATACATGATACAGGGTACATGATACAGGATACAGGATACTGGATACAGG